GACAGATACAGAGATACAGAGACAGAAACAGAAAAAGAGACAGAGACAGAAACAGAGATACAGAGACAAACAGAGATAGAAATAGAGACAGAGACAGAGATAGAGACAGAGACAGAGACAAAGACAGAAACAGAAACAGAGACAGATAGAGACAGAGACAGAAACAGACAGAGAGACAGAAACAGAGATAGAGACAGAAACAGAGATAGAGATAGAGACAGAGACAGAAATAGAGACAGACAGAGATAGAGACAGAGACAGAGACAAAGACAGAAAAAGAGACAGAAACAGAAACAGAGACAGACAGAGATAGAAACAGAGACAGAAACAGATAGAGAGACAGAAACAGAGATAGAGACAGAAACAGAGATAGAGATAGAGACAAACAGATAGAGATAGAGACAGAGACAGAAATAGAGACAGACAGAGACAGAGACAAAGACAGAAAGAGACAGAAACAGAAACAGAGACAGACAGAGATAGAGACAGAGACAGAGACAAAGACAGAAAAAGAGACAGAAACAGAAACAGAGACAGAGATAGAAGTAGAGATAGACACAGAGACAGAGGTAGAGATAGACACAGAAACAGAGATAGAGACAGAGACAGAGACAGAGGTAGAGATAGACACAGAGACAGAGGTAGAGACAGAGATAGAGATAGACACAGAGACAGAGGTAGAGACAGAGACAGAGGTAGAGATAGAGACAGAGGTAGAGGTAGACACAGAGACAGATGTATATATGTAGTTTCAGAAGGTCAAGGACTGTAGTCTTCAATATGGATTGAAGCTCAACATCAAGAAGACAAAGCTTCTCAGCACTGATTGGCAGCACCACGATAGAAGGAGAAGAGATTGAGGTTGTTCATTTCAGCTTGCTCAGCTCCACAATCAACATTCTCGGCACCAGCCGCCAGGAAATCAAAGACAAATCGTTTTGGGAATATCTGCCGTCAGTGACCTTTCCAGAGTATTGAGAAGCAACGATGTCAGTGTAGAGACTAAGGTACTCCTGATTGGGGTGGGCTATGGTCTTCGCATTTACTTGCTATGCGTCAAGAGAGCTGGACGGTGACTAAGGATGACAGAAGAAAAAGCAATTCCTTTGCATTGTGGTCCTGGGGAAGTGTATAGAACATGTAGATAATCAAAACAGGTCAGTCCTGGAGAGGGTGAAATCAAGGGGCTCCCTGGAGGCAAGGAATTTGCAGCTCTGTCTCACATACTTTGGGCACGTGGCCAGGAAGGACCAGTGCTTGGAGAAGGACATCATGTTTGGGAGGTTGGAAGGACAGCGCAGGAGAGGAAGACATTGGATGAGATAGAATGACACAGTGACGGGGTAATGGCTACTCCCTGAAGGATCAGCTATGAGTCAGTTCAGACTGCACAGCAATTTGTTTTGATTTTTTACTTTATAATGATAATAAAGCAATGATTAAGTAAACACAGGGCAGATCTCCTATGCAGAAGAAGGCATGCCAAGTAATTTACATATTCAATCCTCAAGGATACGTGTTATGTCTTTTTTTTCTTCTTCTTCTTCTTCTTCTTCTTCTTCTTCTTATCATTATTAGTGTGTGTACCATCAAATCAGATCTGACAGTCTGACAGGCACAGGAGGAGATTGCCCCTACTTCTCCAGCAGAGCATCTGGTGGATTCGAACCCTGTACCTCTGATATGTGCTATTTCTTTCTTTCTTTCTTTCTTTCTTTCTTTCTTTCTTTCTTTCTTTCTTTCTTTCTTTCTTTCTTTCTTTCTTTCTTTCTTTCTTTCTTTCTTT